TATGTGACTCCTCACTGCTTTTAATGCATCAATATCGTAATAAATTCCTGCACGAACGAGTCTACCAAAGGCAAGAACATTGGCAGGGTCAAGCATGAAGTTAATTAAGGACATACGGACTGCAAAATGATTGTCTTCAGTACCAGTAATGGCTTTTGAAATTGTCCTATAGAAACATGCCCCATCACCGACAATCTCATCCCGAATATGAGGAGCTATTTCTCTGCAAGGAACCTGTTTGACAGCATCAACACGTTGAACAACTGCGATACCAGAAAGCTTTGATATAATTGCAACTGCTTTCTGTACCCAATCTCTATTTGTAGAAGGAGGTGGTAACATTTCATGCAAAACCTTTGAAGCACCCTTGGTCTTTTCTTCATCAATTAAACAGTCTGATTCAAGACTGTGAAATGATTTTGTCTCTACTTTTTGACCCACAAAGTCATTGTGAGGAACAGTTACACTATCAACACCAGTCTTTCTGTGGTCTTTCATTTTGATTGGAAAAGGGGTCAGCAAGCACCTTGGTACAGAGAGCTCCAACTTCTTATTTTCAAACAAACTTGGAGTGCATACAGAAGGAGAACCTACTTCTTCAGCCACTGTTAAATGGAAACTTTGCTCTTTTGATTTCAATGGACTTGGTGTCATTGATGGTGAAGGGCACTTACTTAAAGATACCTGTACCTCCCGCATCTTGTAATTACATGTTGGAGTACTTTTGGATGGAACAGAGGTCAGCGGTACTGAGGAATCCCACTTTTTATTCTGCAACAAAATTGGAGTATGTACAGAAGGAGAACCCACTGTTTTAGCCACTGCTAAATGGGAACTTTGCTTATTCAATTTTGATGGGCCTGGGGTCATCAACGGTGAAGGGCACTTGCTTAAAGATACATGTACCTCCGGCATGTTGTCCACAGAAGTTGGAGTACATGTGGAGTGAGAGCCTACTTTATGAACAGTTGATGCAGTGTGTGAAATGTGCACCACAGGAGTACTTTGCCGTGGAATTTGTGGTAGAACAAGAGTATTGGATGGCGAACAGCATTTTGATACAGACATCTCCAACGTTTTACCAAGGATAAAAGATGGAGTGGATACAGTAGCACAGCCTACTTTTTTAGCAGTTGATGCATTGCATGGGACAATAACACTTCCAAGGGCAGGGGTACTTTGGTCTTTAATTTTTGATAAAACTAATGGAGAAGGGACTTTCGGTGAATTCAGACCCATTTTCTTAAGTGGCGGTGTCCACAAGGCACCAGGAGTGAGTGAGCTATCCATAGCCCTTTTCCTATTTCTTACATTATCAGGGCAATCCCATTTGTGACATGGAAAATTGGGACATGCACACGATTCAACAACTGTTTTATCACTTAGGGAACATTCAAAGTCATAAGAATCATCGTCATATTCAGATACATTGTCATCACTTTTGGATGCATTGATGTCACAGGAGGTATCAATTCCAGTAGCAGTATCACAGGTTCTCCTCAGTGGACAACTCTTGTGGGACGTCCTTCTGTGGTCTGTTGAGCCACATTTGCATTTGTCAGTCGTGGCATCTGCAATTACTTCTTCAGTAGATGCATCCCTTCCATAATCGTGATTCATTGCACTCTCTTTTACAAACAATTGCCTGCGTTGATGTTCAAAGACTTTACGCTTTCTCTTATATAGCTTCCTCCTTGCTTTAGCAACATTGGTCTTCTTGCTTTTTATATCAAAAAATCTATCTGCATTCAGCTTCTCCAAGATAGATGGAAGATTCTGAACAACAGGAAGGCACATCCGCTCAAGGATGTCAAGAATCCAGTGGTACTGAGGACCACGTTTTGTAAAAAGATAGGTCATGCAACCTTGAATGAGACCTATGTTGGTAGAAACGTGGTAGTGAAGACGTGCAAGGTTCCAATTTTTGGACCTATACCTAACAAGCACATTGTGCGAAGCTTCAACAGGGTTTGTTGTGACTTTACCTATTTCAGGATGTATCAATACATCAGCCAGACCTGCCTTTTCTTGACACTCTAACTTGTAAGCTAGGGTATGAAAAGGACACTTCAAAACTTGGTCACTTTTGTAAGGTTTTCCTTGGCATTTTAAATTGTATTTATCTGTACAAGACCCACAGCTACACACTACTAATGGGTGAAAATCACACTGGCCACCATCCCATTGGTGTTCATCCTGAAAGTGGTGCAATGCCAAGTTCATTAACTTCTGTGAGAAAGCATTGGGGTCTGTGCCAGCATTCGTAAGGCACATCTGAAATGAGGCTTTAGCTTTTCTAATGAACTTCTCAGTGAGGCAACCACAATGCTTCGCATGCTTTTTCCCCTTGCAGTAGCATTCTACTCTAACACCATCATTAGTTGTCATTTCTTTTAATTTACGCAATTTGTCTAACTTTATAGCATGATTCTTCGCCACATGATTGCCACACCGCAATACCCGACAAAGTGGAAAATGTTTCAAGACAACATTCTCAGATGTGCTGTCTCCGTCTTGAATGTGGCATTCCACATTCATTTGATCCTTGACCATGAGCTTGAATACCTCGTTAGCACCGAAACCTTCTGCTGCTTTTGATGTGCCTTCATATATGTCATCTTGACACAAATTGTCACTTCCCTTTTGACAAATGTGACAATAATACAAAAGAGCACCAGTCAAGTAATTTCTGACAGTGTATGTGCAGTTTCGGCTAAAACTGCCTCTAGTCAGCCAAACTGCATCGCCACAGGTTACAGCCCTCTGCCAGCTCCCTAATTTTTCCTGATCCATATCTTGCATTTCCTTTCTGGCTTCTAAGCAAATGCCATCTAAAATGTCCTTCACATGGTCATACATCTCTTTTAGTGTCCCAAAAAAACACTGTCGCTGACTGTATGCATTCCAAGGATGTGGTGAAACATTTTCTTATATATGGCATAAGATGCTCCAGAACAAATTGTAGCAACTTGTAAAATCTTAGATACAGCAGCATCACCATTCTCCCTCTGAGATGAGGTTTCAAATTTGACATTGCAGCTACCACAGTTAGTACAGCCAAAAGAGAGTGATGCTGCTCCCCCCAGGCCAGCCAGTTCTATCGAGTTTACTTTCAGTTTACCTTGACAATTGGTCTCCTGGCAAATTGAATATTGTTCCACAAATTTGACCAACTGTGTAGTCTCTGTGACAACCATGCAATTACTGGAAGCATCTATGTGCAAATTACTCTTGCAAGGAGTATCGAGTGTAAATGTGCAATCAGGTTCACCTGGAGTGGGTTTTTCATCTTCAGTGGCACCAAGAACATTGTCCTCTTCCTCGGAAGGTACTGGTTCTTCAGTATGAATCTATAACAAAGAGAATGGAGTGACGGAACACAACACTTGACAGATAAAACTTCCTCAAAACATGAGGTCAAACATGCCCACTTGTTGTGAGAATAATCATTACTTATTCAGTATTAACAAGAGCAGATGATAGTTAGAGAGAGTGTCAAACTGCACAATGCCAGCTGGAATATGACCACGTAGAACTAAGTCACGTGAGACCTAAAGTGTGGGTGTACCTACTAAAAGCACGTGTAGAAGTTTGCATAAGGAACAGTGGAGAACACTTGAAGAAGCTTTAGACATCATACTAGTACACTTTATAATCCTGCTGAAGCCTGTTATGCAGTACAGCTATTGCAGAGACTCCAAAATGGCCAGTAAACCTTGTTGAGCAAACTAGACAGCCATTTTTTCCTACTCAGCCACACCCAGTATGCGGGAATGCCCAAAGATATGCAAGAAAGTTCACACGGTCATATTCCAGCTAGCATAGTGCAGTTCGACACTCTCTCTAACTATCATCTACTCTTGGTATTAATGTAATGATAAATTATCTTCGTTAATCAGTGAATAATCCTAGAGGCCCATCATCGAAACATTTATGCCAGTAACTCTGCAGAAACGTGGAACTTTTCCCTGACATGCAAGAGCTACTAATGATATTTTATTTTTCCATGTCATATACAGTAGAAGGCGAAAAAAGATAAGTAGTACACAGGTAGTGCGTAGGTAGTAATTTTACTTCGTTACTCTTCACTGCAATATGCCCAGGAAGTACTGTTGATACCGCCCAGTCACATGTTTCATGTAACAAACGCACATGCACTCTAGAGGCTCTCAAAGGACTTGAGGATGCTTCTCTTGGCTGTCTTTACTCTCCAAGTTCATCTCTACTGCTGCTCTCTGCTTATAAAACGCCGTTGAGGAGGCTCTTTGCTCCATTCACTGTTGAGCTACTGTCCTGCTGCTGTCCAAGTGCACTACTGCCACTGATCGGTTTGCACATGCGCAACGAAGGACCAGCGAACTACAGTTTAGAGAAAAAAAGCTAAGTAACTGCAGCGTCACTACTCTTGCACCGCGCAGTAAAGTACCTTCCACTGCGTAGGATTGACCCTTGTGCTGTGCTTGTATTGCACATGCGCAGAGTAGCTGGTGGGCAGGGTAGTCCTTGCCCACTGCACAGCTACCCTGCACAGCTACTATATACTACTCTTCCAAGGCTACTCTACCGTCTACTACTTATACTAAACGGCACTTACTAGCGCTTGTACTCTACTGGTTTCAAAGAATATGGGTCTAAAAAGTAGCCGGATATCAGTAAATAATGGTTTTATTACTATGTGTAAGGTTCTTCTTATGTAGGAACGGTGATTCTACTGGGCCGTAGCGACAGACTATGACTGTCACAGTGCAATGGTGAACTGTTATTACGAAGTCTAGGAGTTACAATGCATGTTTGTAGTCATTTCTTTTTCTGACTTTTATTTTTGTTCTGAATTGTAAAAAATAATGATATTTTATGTACATGTAAAGCTTATATTAACCCCGTACTTACTACCCCTTTCAAATTGCAAAAATGCGCGCATTTATCTGGTGGACTAGTGACAATGGTGTACTGCACTTACAAACAACAGAGGATTTCACATTCGTTTTGTAAGTTTTTGAGTAAGTATTCACCACTAATTTTACTGTAGCACTGGATGTCAAAGTCTCAGGTGTGAGCAAACTGATTAAGAAATACATGGAAACTGGTTCAATTACTCAAAGGCCAGGTTGTCAGTATTAATTCCACTACACTTCTCATTATTTTCACAATATAGGATCTGGAAGACCTTCAAAAGTAACCAGAGAAGTTTTAAAGATAGTATAGGACCAAATGCAAGCTGATGATGAAAGCACTGCTACTCAACTTCAGTAGCTTCTCGTTGAGAAAGGTCATTCACTGTCACTGAAAACAATATTGAAGTCTCGCAATACACTTGGTTGGACATACCGTGGCAGTGCATACTGCCAGATCATTAGAGGACCAAATAAAGAGAAGCGAATGAAATTGGCTCAAGATCAGTTGCAGGAGCACAGGACTACTGGTTTTTCTGATGTACTGTACAGTGATGAGTGTACAATTGAATTCGAATCCCACAGGAGATTTTCATGAAGGAAAATAGGTGCCCTCGAAACCAAAACCAAGGTAGCACTAAATTAATATTACATGTACATTAATGGTATTTTTTTAAAACCTATTATATAGAGCAAAACACCCCTATAAGGTACATGCATGGGCAGGTATAAGTTGCCAAGGAAAGACGCCAATTGTGCTGTTTGAAGAAAAAATGAATTCAGCTGGCTTTATTGAAGTTTTGGAAAATGGACTGATTCCTTATACCCAGCATTTAAATCCATCTCAAAGATTGATGCAGGATAATGATCCCAAACATTCCTCAAAGAAAGTAAAGGAGCGGTTAGAAGCCAACAAAATAAACTGGTTGAAAACACCACCAGAATCCCCAGATCTTAATCCGATTGAAAATCTATGGCACGAGCTCAAAGAATATGTCAGGAGAGTAGTGCAGCCACAACGAAAGGAGGAATTAGTCAAAGGAATCATGGATTGTTGGGAAACTGTAAATAGAAGAAAGTGTAGTAAATATATCGGACACGTACGTAAAGTAGTATCAAAAGTGATTGAATGCAATAATGGAGGTCCCACTGGATAGAAGAAAGTGTAGAAAATATATCGGACACTTACGTAAAGTTATATCGAAAGTGATTGAATGCAATAATGGAGGTCCCACTGGATATTAATATTTGTACATGTACACAGTAGCTCTTTTGATCTTCTTCTTTCCTTATAAATGTAACATCACATACATGTAATCTATGCTAACAGACTTGTACATTACAGATTGCATGCACTTATAACTCTCTTCTATACCCCTCCCAATCCTTCTCTCTCCCACATGTATTATAATAATTAAAAGCAAAATATATCTTTTATTCATTGTATATCTTTTGCATCTTTATATCATTATATCTAATATATAATATATATACATGTATAACAACAGTGTCACTGTGTTAGACTATTTATTATCTTATATGATACTATACTCAGTGTAGCCTTCTACTCTAGATTCTTAATATCAGGTGGATATTTGCTTCTAAGCCCTGAAGAGTAATGATTTATTGCTTGAATACACTTAGACCAATACAGCTAAAATTCTTCCTTTGTACTAATATCACGTGGATGGAATAATCCCAGTAGCTTCTGCTTCAGCTCCATTAGAGCACCAGATGGCAAAGGAGGGTTCTCCTTCTGCCCATACACACTACATTTAATCAAAAGTGATGGTCCAAAGTAAACTTTGCTTGCTAGTCTTACAGATGATTGTCCAACTTGAGAGAGTGTCTTTAGTTTGGGATATTTATTAATCACAGTATCAGGATTCAACAAAGGAGCATTAAAATCTATTTTCCTTCTATTACCAGTGTGCACAGTAGTATTGGTGATGATTGCCTTTACTGGCTCATTAGTTGGAGTTACTGGATCAGTATGCTGAGGTAGATTACAAGCAGATGGGGCACTAGGAGTACTTCCATTACTGTTCATGTATGTAGCAGAGTACCTGCCTAGAATATTAATAGGATATTACTAATCTCTAATAATTATTACTGAATACTAACCCTTGTGTTCATGCTAGTATTTCCAAAGAAATGGTATGTTAAGCAACCCAATTGGGATGGCACCATGATACTCTGTTCTTCTAAAATTTCCATTCTTCTAATTAGAGACAGTATATAACCTCTAAACAAAACAACATTAATTGTTTGTGATAATCAAGTAATATGTTATTAATGTTACTAAATTTGTACAGGTACTTGTAAAACAATTTACCTGTTTCAGTACTACATGCAGCTTGAGTTTTAAGCTCCACCAGTGCAAGTGGTGGTGGAAGTGGTGGAGGGCTATGACAAAGAATTCTTTCACTGGAATCTGCCTCTTTTCTCTCTGAAGGTTTTCTTGCTTCTAATAATAACAAGTAAAACAATAGCAATAATTATTATTATATTTAATCTTACCGATACTAATATGCTTAGAAGGATCTCCAGTGTTGAAGCTTGTTGCTTCATTATTTGCAGCAGATTCATTATTTGTAGCACAACCAACAGCAACAATATTAACTGTGCATTTCTGTTTTGTGTTTTTATAATAAATTACCTTTTTAATGCATTATGTACCTTCACCTTCCTTTCCTTTTTCTATTTTAGGTTTCTTTATTCGGTGGTACCTACATGTAGATGTGAATTTACATGTAGGGTTAGTAATACTATATACCATCTCACTTTTCTTAGCTTTCCTTTTTATTGTGCCACGCTTTGTAGTCTGACTCATTCTTCATACTCTCAGCTGACTGTTTCTCCATATTCTTGGCTGACTCTTTCTCCATATTCTCCGCTGACTCTTTCTCAATCTTCTCAATAATATCACGTGCTGCATTACTTACATCTTTCTTATCTCCTAGAAAATTATATGTGCAGCTATTGACTAAAAATTAAAGTACAGTGTTACCAAAGGTGACTATTGTGCCATCATGAAAGTCCTTTCCATCCCTTACTCTGCAGGAGGTACCAGCTTCCAGCTGCTCAACTTCTACACAGTTTGCTTTCACAATAGAATAAGTATCGTCTTGCTTAAAGTATTTCAAAAAGTAAGAAGCTACATTTAAAATAGTAACAAGACTCCTAAACATGTTTTTAACTTACGATTTGTCTTCTTCTGGGTGTCTTTTATCAGCTTTCTAAGACTCATTTCTACTCGTTTCCACTGAGTCGTAACCGGGCTGGTGAAAATTAATGCGCATGCGCAGTATTGAGTAGCGCATGCGCAGCACATCAGTAGAGTAGAGTAGCACAGGAGTAAAGAAAGCAAAGCTGCTCGTTACTACTACCGTTTTGATTCGCATGAGCTGTGTAGGAAGAAAAGTGCAGTTCGTAAGAACTACTCTGCGCTACTTAGCTTTTTTTCTCTCTAAACTGTACCTACGCAACAGTAGAGTAGCTACTTATCTTTTTTCGCCCTGTACTGTATATAAATGAAAGCCTATTTGAGGCTCTCTCACATGCAGGATCATTGCCATATAACACTGCATTAGGATTAAATATAAAACTGCACAGAATACATGTATGTATGTAGACAGAAATGATAAGAAGAAATGTAAAGACGAATACATTTTTGTAAAAAATGTCATAACTATTTACAAAAAATAAAACAATTAAGTTGACTCAATACATTTAACCTTATGTTTCAGTTCTTTGTTAATGGGAATGTTTAACGTTTCTAACACTTAAAGAACAGTAGTTATGTAATCAAATATGAGACAGAATTGCAAATACATTATTTTAATAGCCATCAAGTCTCTGGTATCAACAAAAAGCTGTTTCTGAATGAAAAGACATCACCAGTTCATCAGGTGAATTTTTTAAAATCTACTGGCAGATTAAATTTACCAAAAACTACATTATTTTCTTTGTAACTTTCTTCCCTCACTAGACGGCAAAAAGGCAACCACATAAGGTATAGTTCCTTAATTTTAATGCAATGCTCAAAATTTAAAAT